AACATTACCAAACATGGGAAATGAATTTTCCATTTCCTTTCTCTTTGGAAAAGATATGAAAAATATTACTTCCCATCAAATTCTTTTCGCAAACCAAACGGGACCTACAATCCAGATGAATGAACCCCACTGTTTCCCCCAAATACCACACGTACTAAGTAAGTGTTAGTTTAAGGGAGAAGAGGTTTAGAGAATGGTTGGTAGTGTTTAGGACAATAGCTTAACTTGGAAAGGAAAACTTTTGAAAGAGTATTGAATGGAGGAAGAAGGTTACAAAGCCTTACAGACTTAGTTGGATACAAGGCAGCTGGTAGTTTTCAGCTTTTCTTGGATGATTACATAAGTGGGCTGCTAGCTTATATGTATAGGAATGCTTAAGTCAGCAGCTTTGCTTGGAAAAGTCGGTTGCACAGTAACCGACTTTTCCAAAGTCATTTTCAGCCACAATTATTTTCTTATTCTAGATTTTTCTAGTTATAATATATTATATAATTAGTAGGATATTCTAGTGACTTTAACTTGTCAACTTCTCTTAATTTTTCTAGATTATTCTATATTGTTCAAGATATTTCTTTATTATTCAAAGTACAAGCACTACTACAAAATAACCCTTGCGCGACCAAAAATTATTCGTCGCACAAAGACACTCTGCGCGATGAAACTCAAAAATTCATCGCTAAAAACCTTGCGCGACTAACTTTTGCCCGACAAAAAATAATTCGTCGCTCAAAGTGACTTTGCGCGACGAAAAAAAATTCGTCGCTCAAAGTAACTTTGCGCGACGAAAAAAAATTCGTCGCACTAAGTAACTTTGCGCGACGAAAAACAGTTCGTCGCGCAAAGCGACTTTGCGCGACGAAAAACAATTCGTCACGCAAAGCTACTTTGTGCGACGAAACAATTAACCTCGTCGCGCAAAGTCCTTATAAAAATAAATAAAATAAAAAAATTATTTTTTAAAATCTTTGTTAGAAAAATATATTATTGTTGTTTGGATTGGGTTTTTATTAGAAAATATATTTTTTAAATTGACGATCGAATTAGTTCATTGTATTCATATAGGGTCAAAGAGTGTAGCTATAAAAAATCAACAAAATCGGAGTTAAAATAACCGTTAAATCGTGATTTTTCATTTATACCCGTCGAAAAGTTTTGTCCCATTACTTGGTCTCTGAATGTTTATTTTTTCCGATTTTTGGCGTATATGATCTCGAAGTATAAACAAACAAGTTTGACGGTTGGATCGTTCAAACTAGTTTCGTAGAATGCGTATCCCATCAAAACAATATATTCACTAACAATTAAGAGTTTATTTATACTTTTGTTAAATATAACATAAGATTTTGTGGTATCCACTAGTGTAAATATTTTAAATTGAAGATCAAATTCAGTCATTGTATTCATATAGGGTAAAGGAGTGTAGCGGTAAAAAATCATCAAAATCGGAGTTAAAATAACCGTTGAATCAAGATTTTTCATTTATAACCGTCGAAAAGTTTTGTCCCGTTACTTGATCTCTGAATGTTTATTTTTTGCGATTTTTGGCGTATATGATCTCGAAGTATAAACAAATAAGTTTGACGGTTGGATCGTTGAAACTAGGTTTTTTGAATGCGTATGCCATCAAAACAATATATTCACTAACAATTAAGAGTTTATTTATACTTTTGTTAAATATAACATAAGATTTTGTGGTATCCACTAGTGTAAATATTTTAAATTGATGATCAAATTAGTTCATTGTATTCATTTAGGGTCAAGGAGTGTAGCTGTAAAAAATCATCAAAATCGGAGTTAAAATAACCGTTAAATCGTGATTTTTCATTAAGAACCGTTGAAATTTTTTGTCCCGTTACTAGGTCTCCGAATGTTTGTTTTTTATGATTTTTGGGGTATATGATCTTGAAGTATATACAAACAAGTCTGACGGTTGGATCGTTGAATGGTGTGTGTATATATATATATTTATTTACTTATTAAGTAGCTTTAAATTTATTTATTTTGTACGTATAACACTTAAGAAATTGGTATATACATTTATTAAGTAGCTTTAACCTTATTTATATTTTAAATCGTAAACAATTATTTTTATAAATATCGTGCTACGAACCAATTTTTCGTCTCTCAAAAGTTTGCGCGACCAACAATTCATCGCGCTAAAACTCTGTGAAAAATTTGGGCGACCAAAAATGGGACGCGAGAAAAAAAAAAAATTTAGACTTTGCGCGACCAATATATATTTTCGTCGCGCAAAAATTTCGCGGGTACCAAAAATGGGATGCAGGAATTTTTTTATATAATTTTTTTAGACTTTGCGCGACCAATATGTATTTTTCGTCGCGCAAAAATTTCAAAATTTGGGCGGGTACCAAAAATGAGACGCGGGATTTTTTTTTTGACTTTGCGCGACCAATGTACTAATATTCGTCGCGCAAAACTTTGCGCGACCAATACTCCAATATTTTTCGTCGCGCAAAACTTTGCGCGACCAACAATGTCGTTCGTCGCGCAAAGTGATACGGTTTTTAAAATGAAAATAACTCCTCCACCATTTTCTCAATGTCTTTCTCTACTCTTTCCTCTCCTCTCTCTTTCCCTCTCCCCAAATCCCACCATTTCTCTCACACTCACTCATCTCACTTAATCTCTCATCATCTCTCTCTTCACTATCTCTCACTCTATCATCTCTCTTTTCACTATCTCTCACTCTAACTCACTCTCTCATCTCTCTATCACTATCTTCTCTAATTCTCTCACACTCATTTCTCTCTTTCATTCTCACTCACTCTCAATCTTGCCAAAAGGTAGATTCTCTCCATATTTTAATTTTTTTTTCATTAATATGTGTTTTTGGAGTTAGTTTTGAGTTTGTGTGGGGTTTGGGGTTGAGTAAAGGGGAGGGATTGGAGTTTGGGTTGGATTTGTGGTACAACAATTTTAGGGGAGATTATCCCTTTTTTTTTATTGTACTTTGTTAATTTATGTGTACATTTTTGAATATTATATATATATATTTATTGGATAATTTGATCACTATTTTTCATATGTAATTTTATTTTGAATATGTCAATTTAAATTAAAGTAATTAAATTTAAAAACTAAACATTTGAATAAATTAATATCAATTTAAATTAAAGTAACGAAAAAAATCATACAATTAAATTAAATTTAAAAATTAAAAATTAAAAATAATTAATATAATTAAATTAATATTAAAGAAATAATAAAACAAAAAATCAGAAACCAAAATATTTCGTCGCGCAAATATTTGCGCGACATTAATATTCGTCGCGCAAAACTATAAAAATTTGGGCGGATACCAAAAATGAGACGCGGGAATTTTTTTTTAAATTTTTTCATCGTGCAAAGTTTTGCGCGACCAATATTTTTCGTCGCGCAAAGTCGCTTTGCGCGACAAATATTTTTTCGTCGCGCAAAGTTGCTTTGCGCGACCAATATTTTGCGCGACCAATATATTTCGTCGCGCAAAGTGACTTTGAGCGACAAATATTTTTTCGTCGTGCAAAGTCTCTTTGCGCAACGAATGAAAAAATTTCGTCGCGCAAAGTCTTTCTCCACGATCTTTGCGCGACGAAGTTTCTGTCGCGCTAAAATTTGTGCGACTATAATGTATTTTGCATGACGAAATTCTCTTCGTCGCGCAAAGTGAAAAATGTAGTAGTGAAGTGTGCATTACTTTTTAGCAGTAAGGCTAACATAATGCTAACATTATTTTTGTAGAAAAAAGGGTAATGAATCCTATAGAAACTGCAAATCTAAAGTTGCCACAGATACTACTAAAATATGGTATTCATGTTGATGTTGATGAATATCTGAGAGAGCAACCAGGAAGCTGCAAAGCAGAAGCTATTTTGGAGCATCCTTAGCAATCAATTTTTAAATAATTGATATAAAAGAAACAAAACTGTTGATGCTCAAAATGGTTAGGCCAAGATTGAGTCCAACTTAGTGATGAGGTGTGATGGATGATGAATGAAGGTGAGGACCTTAAGCATGTGTGTAAAGACTTGGGCAAGCGATAAATGTAAAGAAGACAAGATATACGTGGTTCACCCTTAATGAATGGGCTACGTTCACGGAGAAGTATGTTCTCATTATAATAGTGTATGATTACATTTGTACATGGGGTTGGACCCGAATATAAAGATGACAAGTGAGATGCCCAGGCTAGGAATCTAGAAAAGAGTCCCCGACCCTAGGGTCTAGCTCTGAGACCCGGATCCTCTTCTAAGTGGAGAGAGGAAGTCCCATTTTCACATGAATACTATTCCCTCTTTATAGGGAGGTGAAAGTAGGAGGTTTGTGTAGATTTCCGATGTGGGACTTTGTGCAAGTCGCTGTGGTGGTGACACGTGTCTGCCTTGGGGCTAGTTGTTTTGAGGCTGGATATGCTCGGTTGATTATGGTGTAAACAGTAGTCCCCCAAGTTCGCGGTCAAGAAGTAACTTCTGGATTGGGAACTTGTTAGATTTTTGTGTAATCGTGACCGAACATTCCAGGTTCAGTGGGAGCCGTAGGGTAGTCCCTAGTCCCCCAAGTTGGCAAGCTAGAAGTTGCGTTAACACTTGAAAGGTATAATAAAAGCTGTGTGAGCCTTGGACCTATTGGTAGCTGGGTACCTGGACTTTTGGCAAGGAGGCCGAGACTGAGCTCTATGGGGCTGAGCTTCGGTAGAGGCCGTGGCCTTGAAGTTTTGGCAAGGGGGGCCTTGGGGAGCAAAATTTTGAAGAGCAAGGAGCTGGGCCATTGGAGTATACTTTGGTTCCTGGCAAAGACCTGGGATAAAAAAGGTTGGGCCTTAATAGAGATTTCGGCAAAATTCCCCTTGGAGCTAGGCTTTGGCAAGGGACCCAAGTGTTTTGAGGCTGGATATGCTCGGTTGATTATGGTGTAAACAAAAATCAATTTTTAAATTGATATAAAAGAAACACTGTATAGTTTTTATTATGGGGAATATCAATCATCAATCAAAACAAGTCATGGTGATGCCAGTGTGGTCTTTGGCATTGAGCAGACAAGCAATTACCAGCTTGACCAGGGTACTAGATGCTCAGGTGTTCTCACTTCTCATAACCCGAGCAGGAGCTGAAGTCGAGCACTATCTTGATGTGCTTGGGGTGTTCCTGTAATTTCAGCACTAAGTACATACTTTGCTTGAGCACTAGCTCAATGCTCTCAATGTTATCTCATGCCTCAAGAACATGCTTTGACTTGGGCACATTGATCACAGAACAAATTATGATAGAGCAATAACCTGTAGAATCTTTAAGAAAGATCTCCAGTTACCTGATGTCAAACCTAAGGATCATGAATGGAATCGCTGAAAGTATAAAGGATAAGGGGCGCTTACAAATGCTCAGACCACTGCAGAGTCAAAGACGGATTTTCTTTTATCTTGTAATTGTTCAAATTCTCATTGTTTGCTGCTGCCCAATGTTCAATCGCAGTGCTTAAAGGTAGCACGAGAAGTGCGTCAGATAATATGAATTCTTCCTTCGGATTTCAAATTCTATAGACTACACGAGATATTCCTTGTTTCCTTTTTTATTTTTCCTTTTGTTGTTGTTGTTTTTGTCAAGGTTCTTCAAATGATATACATTCTAAATGTTTGGTCACTGGAATTAAATTCTTTCTTCTTCTTCTTTTTGGCAATATTCACCACACAGAGCAGCAATGTATCTTTTGAAAAAGAATATAATGAATAGCACCGTGTGTATCTAATGTTGGGAATATCTTTTATAGATAAGAATCTCAATTTAGCTCCTGGACCATGTGTTTTCTCCCTCTCCGTCTCTCCGTCTTTGTAAATTTTGCTTTCCTGTATATCCAAATAGATCCCTTCCCTGAAGATAAAGATGATGGGCTTATTACATGCACATCCACTATGGTAAGGCCCAAAAATAGAGAATTTACTTTACGTGATCCTTGGATGATACTTAGTCAATGACCATGGATGGATGATGGGCTTTTTCTTGATAAAGTATCTTCCTTTTGTGGCAAGCATATTGACATTCTCAACATGGATGATGTGTTCATAGTTCGAAGAAGATCACGGCGTAGAGTGGAGGGAATGACAAACCTTTATTATTATCATGTGGATATCTTCAAGAACTAAATAATCGTTTTAATGAGGTAAATACGGAGTTGCTTCTTTGTATGACATGTTTGAGCCCAAATGATTTATTTTTAGCTTTTGATATGTAAAAGCTACTTTGTCTTGCTCGATTTTATCCAAAGGACTTTTCTGAGATAGAGCTGATGCGCTTGAAGACCACTTGGGACTTATATTAGTGACATGCATTTGAGTAGTGAATTTTTTGAAGTAAAAGGAATTGGTGGTCTTGCATAAAAGATGGTGGACACAAGGAGCGACAAAGTATATCCATTAGTGTACATGCTTGTGACATTAGCTTTACTTTTGTTGGTTGCAACTGCTTCAATGAAGAGAGCCTTTTCACTTATGAATATTGTGAAGATTCCACTTTGTAAGAGAATAGGGCATCGATGGTTGAATGATAGTTTGATAGTTTATATTGAAAAAGATGTATTTGATAGTGTTTGTTGGTAAAATTACCCTAAGGCCGAGCTTCATATTGTTGAGGCCAAAACAAACTCATTTACTCTTTATAGCAGCCCAGGCCCATCTGTAGTTGCTGGAATAAAAAAGCCCCTACACATATAAATTGGAATTCTATTCGGATATTGACTTCTATTTTGAGGCTAATAAGGAAACTTACTTCTACAAGGATTTGATTATCTCCAAACTATTATATAAAGGCAACTCTCAAACTTGAAAAGGGTTCCTCCGGGTTCTTCCCACATCCTCATGCAAGAACTCAACCCTATGTTATAAATATTTGATCTTGTTCATCATGATTATGAGTGTGATGAGTGTAATTGGGATATGGGTTGTAAGGATCAAACACTTTATATCTCTTGTTCTTTCTTCATTCAATAGTGAAAATATCAAATACCCCGTGGACGTAGCCCAATTATGGGTGAACTATGTAATCTCTTGTGCGGCTTGATTGAATGTACTTAATTTCTATTTACAAGTGCAATCCCTAAGCACTATAACTCGTTCTAGGGGACGACATGCTTGGTCATGCCAAATTGGTTTGGAAGGATTGCCGACCTCGATCTCGAAGAGGTCATTTTCTGTTGAACCAATTTTAGGCATCAACATATAGCATTGATAATGATGTTATCATGGAACGTTTTCAAACAACGAAAACGCGTAGGGACAATTGTGAATTAGAACCTATTTAATTTTTACATTTCCAGAAAGCTACCTAATGTTGTTATATGTGATTCATGATTTCCATCACAAACTCTCATTGATACGAGTTGTTACTATCAATTTTTGTGGGAGTGCACATGAAAAACCAACCTCAGAGCACAACAACACGTGTTACCCCACGAGTTCGCAGGACCAAAGTACCCTTAAATTCCATTGGACAACAACTTCCATGTCATTGTTTAGCCACATCAATCAATGATGTGTTGTGCAGATCAAAACAATTGTGCTAGGCAAGAGCTTTTCATAGAGTAGAGCAAAACAGCCACCCCCATACAACCTAGCCAAAACAACTTTGTGGTGCTATATTGATGTAGAACAGATGGCAGATTTTATCGCGGTTGAGCAAGAAAAGGGACGTTGTGGGAATTTGCAGAATTGTTGTCCGAGCTCCGATTAGGGAGCAAAATACCATTTCGGAAAGGGAACGATGCCACGAGTCAAACTCACAGCTTTGCTGTGACGTACGATGGATTTTGGCATTCTGGAGTCGTTTGGCCTTTCAAAACTGCAGTCAAAGTTCGAAGTTAATTCTAAATAAATTCTGTTTTTCCGTTTTGGAGTTACATAGTTAATTCCCAAAATAAATTCTGTTTTTTTTTCAGTTTCGGAGTTACATAGTTAAGTCTCCGAATTAATTCTGTTTTTTCAGTTTTATTGTAATAACTCCCCTAGCAGTTACAAGGGTTGAGAGTTGTGTATTTAGACGGGTTCGTCTAACGTTTTTAGGAAGTTCAGATTTTAATCAAATTAATCAAAGAGAGTTTCTCTTAATTTCTGGTGGATTCCAGTTTCCTTGTTACTCAAGGTTTTCGTTTGAAACCTTATTTGCTTGTGCTGCGTCATATATGAACACTATAGTTTGGACTCGTGCTCAGTCTAGTTGGACTCGTGCCGAATAATGCTCGGATCAACTTAGATCTGCATGGCCTGTATCAGAATCCAAAGCTAACTTCTCTCACATCTGGAAATCCTGACTCAAATCACTTTCCATATATGGATGAATCTCAATCCCGAAGAATCATGGACATTTGCAGGTTATATACGAAGATCTTGACTTGCAATCCCAGTGTCATCAAGACTTACCCTTCACCAAGAATTCCCACCCCTTTGGGACACTCTCAAGAGTATATATCTTTTTCACACAATACAATAGTACATTACCATAATCTTCAAACCCCATCTTTTGCAACTTCAACTCTCCTGCTTTCCAAATCGAATCCACCTGACTTTCTTGGCAAACACCACACTGGTGTCTCATTAACCTTTGATAGCTGCGCTGAGTTGAGACTCTTATCTGCAAAAGATTGATCATACATTACATACTGTCGTGCTTTTCAATAAATAAACGAAGAGTGTTTAACTACAGTGATCAAATATTTACAAAGAATATTATGAGAAGAAACATTCTAAACAAAGTAAGAATATCTCATGTAATATACATGACTACAAAAGTCAATGATAGAGAGAGAGATTTCATATCACTAAAATGTACATGCATCATATTAGAACATTTACGAACCCTTCTTAGGATAATCCATGACACGTCCGGCTACAGAAGACTTGATAAGACGATTTGGCTGCCCTGATTTAATAGTTGGCTTTTGGTTGAAAAAATAGATGCATTTAAAATTAAAAATGGTGCTCTTACACAAACACTCATGCTTGACCCAACCTATTAGCTTAATCTTTATTATTCCTTCATACAACTCAAAAAGGCAAAAAGAGAGGAAAGCAACTAACCTATGAAGCCAAGATCCAAACTTTCAGACCAGAGAAGCATAGAATGGAATACTAGAAACCTTTAATTATTTTGTATTCTATAAGGGTTCCATGGTCATTGACTAAGTATCGTCCAAGGAAAGTAAATTCTCTGTTTTTGGGTCTTACCATAGGGGATGTGCAAGTAATAAGCCCATCATCTTTATCTTCTAAGGAGGGGTCTATTTGGATATACAGGAAAGCAAGATCTACAAAGGGGGCGATACAGCGAGGGAGAAAACACATGGTGCAGGAGCTAAATTGACATTCTTATGCAAAAGATTTTCCCAACATTAGATACACACGGTGCTTTTCAATATATTCTTTTTCAAAAGATACATTGCAGCTCTATGTGGTGAATATTGCCAACAACAAAAAAAAACAAAAAAAAAAAAAAAAAAAAAAATGAAAACAGAACATAATCATTAGAAGAACCAAGACAAATAAAAAAGAAAAAAAAGGAAACAAGGAATATCTCGTGTAGTCTAAAGTTTTGAAAGCCAAAGGAAGAATTCATATTATCTGACGCAGCATTCTCGTGCTACCTTTAAGCACTATGATTGAACAATAGGCAGCAGCAAACAATGGGAATTTGAACAATTTAGTGAAAAATATCACCTTATTCACCTTCAGGATAAAAAGAAAATCCATCTTTGACTCTGCAGTGGTCTGAGCATTTGTAAGTGCTCCTTATCTCTTATACTTTCAGTGAGTCCATTCATGATCCTTAGGCTTAACATCAGGTAACTGGAGATCGTAAAGATTCTACTGGTAACTGCTCCATCATAATCTGTTATGTGATCAAAGTGCCCAAGTCAAAGCATGTGCTTGGGGCATGAGATAACATCCAGAGCATTGAGCTAGTGCTCAAGCAAAGCATGCGCTTAGTGCTGAAGTCATAGGAACACCCCAAGCATCAAACTAGTGCTTGACTTCAGCTCCTGCTCGGATTATGAGAAGTGAGACCACCTGAGCATCTAGTACTCTGGTCAAGCTGGTAATTGCTTGCAGCTTCCTGGGTTGCTCTCTCAGATATTCATCAACATCAACATGAATACCATATTTGAGCAGTATCTGTTGCAACTTAAGATTTGCAGTTTCTACAGGATTCATTACCCTTTTTTTTCTAAACCCAAGAACAAGTGCCTGGTGAGTAATGTTATTAGGAAGGATACCATGTTCAATCATCATACTTATCAAGGTGCATGCATCATCCATGCTCCCAAAACTACAATGCCCATGATCAGAGTGTTGTACAGTATCAGATCTGGACGTAATCCAATATTAAGCATCTTGTGAAACAAAACATTAGCTTCTTCTATTCGACGCTCTCTACAGTATCCATTCAGAAGAGCACTGCATGTCACTACATCAGGTTTCACATCAGCTCACTCATGTAGAACCACACAAAAAAAGGCTTCCTCAAAGTTCCCCTTCTTTGAAAACCCATCTATAAGGTTAGTGAATGTGACCACATCCAGAGAGAAACCCCTTTTGATTAGCTCAAACAAATTTCTTTTGCTTCGATTACAAATCCTCTTGTGACAAGACTATGAATGAGAGTGTTATATGTCACAATATCAGGTGAAACATTGGAAGAATTCATCATATCTAAAAGCCCAAAAACCTTTTGTAAGTGTCCCTTCTACCAAAGCCATCCATTAAGGTGTTGAATGTAACAACATCAGGTGCCAAACCTGCTGAAATCATCTTGTGAAACGAATATTCTGCCGTTTCCATGTTTCCAGACTTGCAATAAGCATCAATGAGGGATGTGTATGTGGTAACACATGGTGTGATTCCATTTTTTAACATTTTCCCAAAATACTGAAAAGCTCTATCAATGTCTCTCACTTTGCAGTATCCATCAATTATAGTAGAGTAACAAAAGCAATCGGGGAGCAAGCCCAACAGAGACATCTCATGAAACAGGCTAGAAGCTTCAACCATATTACCATCTGTGCATAACTTTGAAATGAAGCTATTGTATATGAAAATATTGAGGGAAGTATTGAAAATCTTCAATATGCTTATTGCTACCTCTGTCTGCCCCAGCTTACAGTGACCATCAATAATTGAACTAAGTAGAACTGGATCAGGAGAAATACCCAATTGAGTCATCTTAAACAATAAAGCGGTGGCTTCATTCAGATAAGACATCTTGCAAAGTGAGTTAATAACAATTGTAAATGAAACCACATCAGGTTGAATCCCATAATTTTTCATTTCCAAGAGCAACTTCCAACCACTTTCCAGATCACCCTCACTACAGTACTTATTAATGAATAAGCTCATCATAGCTGCATTTAAACCCATCCCTCTGTCCGCATAACTTCCAGAAAATCCCATGCCAATTCCAACTGCTTTGATCCTAATAATGCCTGCAGTAGTGAGTTACACACCCCATTTGAAGGAAAGATGTTTAGGTGCTTCATTTGACATGCTATTTTTAAAGCCATGTTCACCATGCCTTCCTGAATATAACCATTGACAAGCATGCTACATGTGGTTTCTAACACCCTTATTCGCTATGGGTTTCATAAAGGACATTAGCAATGAATTACATGACTCCTCGTCACCATGATTTCTCACAAGATGCAATATCAGATCCACTGCTCTATGATTCAGGTTTCCAGAAACCAAAATATGTATCATTCTACATATGGTTTGTATTGTATGCTTTGATCCAGAACAGCATTCTGACCACTTGAAGAAGTATAGAACAAGTTTAGCATCCAAACTCTCCTCAAACAGATCGTTCAAAAGATCTATAATGTTCAACTGATTCAGATAGATATTATACCCATTTTGACAACCAAGATTCCATCCACGCTTTGCGAGTATTAACATTAATCTTTTCATTTCATCTTCATCTGGTCTCTCATTAATGGAAAACAAGAAACCAGTGTCAACAGGCTCACAAATGTCGTCTCCACCACAATAAAGTTCGTTTATTCCTCTAAAGTCAGTAGGATAGCTTTTTGCATTCAGAAAAAAAACCATTATCAGCAGCAACGGTATCTTCAAGTGTTGAGGTTTCATCCTCTGACAGAGTTATGGAAGATAGTGCTGAATTCACAGAAGAATAATATCTCAGTGCACTTCTCCTCCTGAATATCAGCTTCAATTGGGACGTGTACACGTTGATGATTGACAACAAACCCGCCATCAACAACCTTAAAAGAGTGAACATAGCTGTACAAAGAAGAAAAAGAGGAAAAAACAAAATGTTTACATATCTGAATTACCATATATCCTTCGAGCAGATACTCAAAAAGAGCTTAAAACAAACACAAAATGATGAGCATATACAACCCACTCTCACTTTCAACCCTAGTCACAGGACCCGTTGTTGTGAGTTGTATTCAACAGTTGTATACCAACCAAAAGCAAAAAGAACAAAAATAAAATAAAAATTGATCCTTTGAACCAGTACCAACTGTGTCTCACAAAATATGTTCAAGAAAATAAATTCATTGGGATGGACATAAGGGTACTAATCATATTCATACCACAGCGCAAAAGTATATATTTTTTTCCCATGTTGTCAAATACTAGCCACTTCATAAACTTCTTGTTTTACTACTGTTGATTTGTTCAACATCTCAATCCGCAAATCAAATACAGTGCTAGCGTTTGAAGCCAAATCTCTTGTGGCATTTCATCGAACATATGATGACCAATTGCATATTATCACCAAATTATCATCCATGAGATACGTGACAAATGACATGGCCTTCAGAATAGCAAATTACGCCAAAATCCAAAATCGAAACTTTGCTACTAAGTTGAATTAAAAGAATTAGAAGAAAGAACAGAAAGCTTACCATTTGGGAGATTATGCTTGCTGTATTTACTGCTGCCTGCTGAGGATGATGCTTCAGTGAGAGAGAGAGAGAATTATGTTTACAGTTTGGTCGACCGAGAATAAGCAGCTGTGTTCACCGGACAGTTTTAAGAGTAACTACCTTTTCCTTATTTCTGTAAGTCAGTGTTTTTCAACTTGAAGCCCTGATGTTCATATGGCCAAAGGTAGGTGGTTTTTTTGGCCTTTTGGGTCAATTACAAGTTTACCTCTATACTTTTAGGATTTTACATTTTGGTCTCATAACTTTAGTTTTCTTTTTCTTTTCTTCTTTTCTTTTCGGGAAATAGTAACCTCATTATAAATTTTTTTTAAAGAGCCTCTCATATTGAAAGGGTCAAAATTCACTAAACTCGCACACGCCCATGCAAGGACTCAAACCAGTGTAACCATTTTTTTTTTTTTTTTATTTTTTTTTTTTTTTTACCACTATATTAATGGGTCACTTGCAATAATAACCCTATTATAAAAGTAGACAAAAGAGGTGGCGCATGACCACTTTTTGAAGGGTATTTGGTCAAAACAAATGGGTTACATGTTCTCGTTGAGTTTCGTATGTCCAACTCCAAGAAGTCTTCTTGAGCAGTATGGGGGCCGCGGATGCTTTGCTACTTATGGTCATCAATTTCCTTTATCTTTTTGTTTGGTTTAATCATGTTCCTTCTTTGATAGCTCTTCCGATGTTGTAAGATAATATTTTTTCAAACTATGATGACAAGCTTATGGCAGATGTTACTTGAACGCCTAAACTCTCTTGTTTAGGCATGCGTGCTAAAATATGATCAAGCCTCTCTCACACTTCCTTAACTGTTAGAACTCAAGATTTCATATTTTTTTAATACCTTATCTAATAATTGTTTAAGAGTTCTTGAACAAAGCTGGTTTTTAAGAGCTAGTTCTACACATGAGGATCTGACCAATTGGTATTATGCATGAGCTCTTGGCGCTCTTCCGTTGAACGACACTCCTTTTCTTAGCTTTTATTCACCATAAATTACGTTTCTAGGCAAATAATACACATACTGAACTGTTGCTTAACTTGTTACATTTATGCTTGTTGGATTATATGTTGAAGAACATGAAACAATTGCTAAATCATGGTAAGGTTGAAGAAAAATTATAGAAAACGTTCCAGGTTCTAGAAAATCCCGAATGAATTGAACATCAATAACCTGAGTTGATTTCAAACGGCCATTTAATCGAAGTTCATATGTCAACGTAATATAAGTTAAACACAAGAAATTAAAGAGCCTTGGCTGCCTTCTAGAGCATTTACCTCTGCACCGATAATCAAAGTTCGGCTTTTGCCCTTTCCGTTTTCAGAATATAAGAACAGAAAGAAAAACAAGAGAAATAGAACATTTAAAAGTTTTAGATGATATTAGAATCAACTCTTGGTGCAGACAAAATTGTCAAATGTGCTTGATGTCTGGCCTGCAAACCCCACTTCTAATTCAAGGTAGGAATTCCAGGTGAAACCAAAAAGAGCCAAGAAAAGAGAAGCCCAAGAGACTAGAACAAACATTTAAATCTTTTTCCTTTCTTTCCTATTATCAACAAATACAAAGAATATGTAAAGGTTAATGTACAGGCTTACAACTGATCCATCCCTAAACATAAACTTGAGGAGATGTACACCATTTTTTTAGCTTTTTTCTTTTTCAAAAGAATTGATTTACTAATATTAGAATGGCCATTTTAAACTACATGTCAAACCCCACCACTATCTTCTACAAACCACCAGTACGGCAAACCTTATAGTGATACCTATACGGCCACCACAAGAAAAATTTGTAATGCCCCTTCCAGTTCCACCAACCCATGAACTTCAAAAAATATGCTTCCCTTTCTCTCACTACCAGAGATTCTATTTCTAACTAGGGAAAGCCCTTCTCCCAATACCAGAGACTCCACGTTTACGACTAGAAGTATGCAGCAAAATATTCTTCTAACTCTTCAGCACGTACAATTCATGTTCTGGAATACTAGAGTTACTTCACGCGAAACTCATGCCTGAATACTGTCAGGTTTTGGGGTAAACTTGTCCCTGTTCTTTGAATCCAAGCTTCTGGTAACATCTGCCATAAGCTTGTCAAAACACTGTGAAAGCCGCTGATGTTGATCCGCTGGCTGCAGGTCAATGCAAAAAGAGTCATGTACAGGTGACAATAATTTGAAGAGATACATAGGGTTCTAGAATACTATTCTCTTGTCAGATTTATATCGCATGACAAATGCTTGTGTTGCTAGACTCTGAAAACACATTCACGAAAAAGTCAAACTGATCAATCATCCAAATTACAGTCTGCAACATCACATCTTTCTCTCCCTATCACTAAAATACACATATAGGACTTGAAAAGATGATTTGGCTGTGATTTAGCACTTTTTTTGTTTGAAAAATTCATTGTACTCAAACAAAAAGTTCATGTTTGGCCCATCCAATTAACTTGATCTTTATTATTCTATATATAACTCAAAACACTTTAAAATAGTGCAAGGCACAACTGACCTGTGAAGCCAAGATCCGAACTTTCAAATCAGAGAACATCTGCAAGTTAAAGACCACCTTTCAGTAAAATATAAAGTAACATAGGATAGTGAAAAGGTTGGGACCATCAATGCAAATCCCTTTCGGTGAAGTTTTTGGTTTTCTTTCTATCTATTCTCCCATCACTCTTCCTCACTTCTTTCTCTTTCTTCCTCTCTCTCTCTCATGAAAAACAAAACTAAAAAACTTTATCGAATGCAACCCAAGTAGTTTGGGGTTTCAGCTAATTTGGCCATGCTGATACAAGAAGAATTAACAAAGTTGGCCCACCACAATGAGTTGAACAAAAACATAAAAGGCACTGAATTCAAACATGCAACTTCTCTATGGAAACACAAAGGAAGAGCATCCTTTGGTTGGTCAGGAAGGCCATGAGAACAGAGAAAGGTTAAAGACTACATAATACTGTACAAATACTGTTAGGACACAAGGCAAACGTACAACATTTGAATATGTTCTTACATTATGAAATGCACAGTGGAGGAGAGTGCTATACATAATAAGTGGATCCTTCCAGATTCACAGTTAAGAGAGAGAGAGAGAGAGAGAGAGATCTGCTCTGTTTCCAAGAAATGTACTGAAAGCTGAATAGAGAAGAAAACATTCTTTACAAGCACATACGAGCACACAGAGCACGAAATTGAATAGTGTATCAGATGAAGGTAGAATGAACCGATTGATAAGGGGCATTTAAGAAGCCGAAGTTGCACATTACGTGTTGTTTCTGTGGTTAGAGATTTGAACAAGGTAAACTACGAAAGTAAAAGGCCACACATGCACTCGAATAAAAGGATCACACAGAGAACAGGAAATTGAAAAGTGTATCAGATGAAGATAGGATGAACTGATTAATAAGGGGCATTTAAGAAACAATGTTGACGCATTCCTGTTGTGTTTGTGGCTATAGATTTGAGCAAGGCAAAATATGTAAGTAAAAAGCCACACATGCGCTCAAATAAAAGTATCACACAAACATACACACACACACAGAGAAAAGAAAAATTGAATAGTGTATCAGATGAAGGTAGAATGAATGACCAATAAGGGGCATTTAAGAAACTGATGTTGCATGCACATGTGTTTTGTGTGTGGCTAAAAGTTTTGAACATGGTAAAATATGAAAATTAAAAGTCACACATGCACTCAAGTAAAAAGTATCACCTGCTCACTAATAAGTATCAAGCTGAGCATTGGTCTGCTAAGACTCCACTGGTTGCCACAGTCCTCGAATAAAACAATCTCAAATAGCGTCTTCAGTATCTTTACATATAAAAGAAAAAAACAATCAGATTATTAATATAACCTAAGAAATTGAGTAATCATGGAGGAACAAAATAATAAAAAGTCATCAAAGTTTAGAAACCTAAAGAAAGAGTAAGCGTATGCAATTCACTTCATATGCATGGGGTATGCAAGTGATTTCATGCATAAGTTTGACACGAGACCAAAAATTATAATCATCATTGACAGCACATAATTCACACAAAATGCTATTCTGAATACTAAACTTTTTCAATATTGTAAATTACAGACTTTCAACTTTCAACATTCTATTCAGCTCTGTAACAAGAAAGAAAAGAAAAAAAAGTTTTTCATCTGAATACCAAACTATAACCACTTAATTCCCAAACAAAACCCAACCCGAAGTCCACAAGAGCATATATACATCTAGACCTTGTCCTCTTAATGCTGAGGTACACAAACACTTGATTCACAGACATCCAGACATGGGACTAATTGAACTAAAAAATGCAAAACATATGCATACAAGTCAATT